TTCAGCACCTGTTCCAGGGGTGTCTTTCAGGTCAGTCTGTGGCATCTTTACTTTTTCACAAATGACGGCCTCTGAAATGCTGTCACTTGCTAACTTCTTTTCATTTATCCAAATCAACAATAATTTTTCTACCTCTCAACTGCCTGTGATTGTTATTTCCTGAGCACTTTCAGACTCAGCAACATCAGCACTCTTAATGGCCTCTTTATTTTCAAAGTTGTGCAACCATGCATTTCACCAGCAGTAAGAGGGAAAACACACAAAAATATTCACAGCAGAAAGACAACAAGATGGCGGTGTAGGTAACGACGGTACCCGTAGCCTCCCACAACCACATCAAAATTACAACCAAAATATAGAACCACCATCATTCAGAACCTAATGAAATCTAGCTAAACAGAAGTCCTACAACTAGGGAACTCAAGAAGCACATCGAGACCAGCAGGAGGGGCAGAGATGCAGGGAAGAATCTGGGCAGAATCTCAAAACCAGCTGGTCCCACACTCAGGTTCTGTGGTTTAAAACCTGGAGGGATATCTCGGTGGTAGAGGGTTCCTGGAGGAGCAAGGGGTCCGAGACCCACATCAGGCCCCCAGCCCATGGTTCCAGTGCCGGGAAGAGAAGGCCCCACAACTTCAGGTTATAAAAATGAACAGGAATTGTAGCTGAGTGATGGGGAGGCTGCAGGAGTCCCAGGGAGTTCCTCTTAAAGGGCCCACACGGGGACTTACTCAGATGCACTGCCTCTGAGCTCTAGCGCTGGGCAGCAGCTTAAAAGGAACCTGGGACATTCAGGGAGGAACTAACTTGCAACATTCAGGGAGGAACTAACTTACCTGGAATCAGGAGGGAAGTTGGAGGAAGAGCTTTCTCCCAGACAGAAGAGCTGGCAGAAGCCATTGCTCCTTTGATGAGCCCTACCCCACAGAGCAGGCAGGCAGGAGCCTTCTTTGAATCTCCATCAACCGGACTCACACCTTTGGCCCCGCCCCGGTGATTCCTGGAGACCCCACCGCTCCCTACTTGCAAGCTCATCCAAGGGATTTCTAGAGGCTTTTCTAGCCTCATGCTTAGGACCTTCCTAAAATCTCTCAAGCAGCAGCTGGCCTCAGCATGCCCCATAACTCTCGATAAGTGGCCCCAGGGGTGACACTAGCAGCAGCATGCATTCATTCATAACTTGGCCTCTCCTAGACACCTCCAAGCCCAGCACAAGTAGCAGCCATCCACGGTTTGCTGTGTAGCTCATGCTGGGTGGCCCTGGGCAGGGCACAGGCAGAGGCTGACTTTGCACCTCCTGGGAGGCCCCAGAGAGAGTGCACCTGGTGGTCAAGAATCAACCATGCTGGATTACAACCCCACCACATCCATGAGTAACACACTCAAGGGGCGCACTTGGTGAACACCAAAGCTACACTGATGTAAATCGTGCTCCATAGGTGAGTCTCCAGCACAGCAGCTCTTTGGCTGTAGTTGTAGCTGGTCCTCACAGCTGATTAGTCTGCGGGTCAGTTCCTCCCAGTGACACCAATAGCAACCAAGGCTCAACTACAGTAGGACAATGCACAAAGCACACACAGCGGAGGACCTAGACAGCCCAGCTCAAGTGACCGCAGAGACTGAGCCACTGGGCCCTATAGGACACCTACTACACAAAGCCACTCTACCAATTCCAGGAGACATAGCAGCTCTACCTAATACAGAGAAACAAACACCAGGAAGCAGTCAAAATGTGGAGGAAACATGTCACAAAGGAAAGAATGTCACAAAGAAAGAACAAAAGAAATCTCCAGAAAAAGAACTAAATGAAATGAAGCCAAGCAACCTACTAGATACAGAATTCAGAATAATGGTTATAAGGATGTTCAAGGATCTTACTAAGGCTACTAGTGAGATCATCAATGACATCATAAAGTAGCAGTCAGAAATGAAGGCTACATGAACTGAAATGAAGAATAATTTACAGGGAATCAACAGTAGAGTAGAGGATACTGAGAATCAAATCAGTGATTTGGAATATGAGGAAACAAAAAACACCAACCAGAAGAGCAAAAAGACAAGGAACCCAGAAATATGAAGATAGTGTAACAAGCCTCTGCAACAACTTCAAGCGGCCAAACATTCGCATTATGGGGAAACAAGTAGGAGATGAAAGGGAGCAAGAAATTGAAAACCTATTTGAAAAAATGATGACAGAAAACTACCCCTACCTGGTGAAAGAAATAGACTTACAAGTCCAGGAAACAGTCAGTCTCAAACTAGAGGAACCCAAAGAGGCCCACAACAAGACACATCACAATTAAAATGCCAAAGATTAAAAACAGAGAATCTTAAAAGAGGCAAGGAAAAGCAGTTAATTACCTACAAGAGAGCACCCATACGACTGTCAGCTGATTTCTCAACAGAAACCTTTCAGGCCAGAAGGGAGTGGCAAAAAATATTCAGTGATGAAAAGCCAGAACCTACAACCAAGACCACTCTACCCAGCAAAGCTGTCATTTAGAATTGAAGGTCAAATAAAGAGCCTCACAGATTAAAAAAAAAAAAAAGCTAAAGGAGTTCACCACCACCAAACCAGTACTACATGAAATGTTGAAGGGTCTTCTTTAACAAGAAGCTAATGAACAAAAGAAACTGACAAACAAAATAGACCCAGAGACACTGAAGCGTGTAACAGACTGTTGTATCTCAGAAGGAAGAGGGGAAGGGGTGGAGGGATGGGAAGAGATTAATCAAAGAAATTATAGGCATATATGCATAAAGAATGGATACAGACAATAAGGGGGTTAAGGCCTGGGGAGAGGGGGTGTAAGGGTGGTAGAGGGGGTTAATGGAGGAAAAAAGTGGGACAACTGTAATACTTTCAACAATAAAGATAAATTTTTAAAAAATAAAATGAAATTAATAAATAAACATCACCATAAAATAACAGCATCATTTCCTGAGATGTTAGCGGTAAACTGAGTCATACTGCCCCATTCTCTCCTTTGTGGCCTAAGAGATGCGCTTTTTGTCATACTGATGCATCAGCATGAAAGTGTTGCCAGGTCAAGACCTGAAATTGAGACATTTTCCTGTGAACAACCTGGTTGAGAACCAAATTGTTCAAGATGGGAGACGTTCTAGAACCGAGGTTTAACTAATTATAATTCATATGTCTAAGAGCTCTAGCAGAAAAGCTGGACAGCATACAGGAAATGGGGAATTTCATCAGAGAAATGAAAATGCTAGAAATAAAAAAATTACATTAAAACTGAAGAATTCCTTCAATAGGCTCACTGGTAGACTTGACTTTAAATGAGGAAAGAATCTGTAAACTTGAAGATAGAGTAATAGAAATGATCCAAACTGAAATGTAAAGAAAAAAAAGAGAAATAGAACAGAACATCCAATTACTGAGACGACATACCAAATTGTCCAACATGTGTAAATGAAGTTGAATAATAGAGAATAGGACGAATGTATTTGAAAAATATGGCAGGAATTTACACACAAATATACCCTAGATATAGGACAAACTGTAGAAGAGAAAAATTAAGAGAAGGTTTGAAGGCAGCCCAAAAAACATACGCACAAAATAACAATATAACAGATATCTTGACACAACCTATGCAATCCAGAGGACACTGGATGGATATCTTTAAAGATGTGAAAGAAAAACTGTCAACCCAGTTGTCAATGGTCAACAACACACTCCTGGTTTTCCTCCTACCTCTCAAATGGTTCCTTTTCTAATTCCTTTGCAAGATCCTTCTTTCATTCAGCAGTAGTACATTTTATAATTCATCGTTGTTCAGTTGCAGTCCTTTTCCTATTTTCACTTTATGTTCTTTCCATAGGAAATCTTATTCCTGCCCAAGGTTTTAATTTCTAACCGCTGGCAGATAAATCCAGTGTTATATCTCCCACCTATACCATTTCTGAGCTGCCTATTTCATATTTTACTTCAGTGTTTCACAGACACTCAGGTTCAACATGTCCAAACTGAAGTTACAATCTCACCTGACTTGGGCCTCTCCCAACTTTCCCTATCTCAACAAATGCAATCACGATCAAGAAGTTATTCCCTGCCAATGACTCCTGACCCCTCTCACTCAAGGACACCATGCCCATTCAATTGTGCTTCCTAAATATCCCCAAATCCATCCAGCTCTCAACTTCAACTACCATTATTCCAGTCCAAACTACAAACTTCTGTTGCATGAACATCTTACTGGATAGTCATTTATCCTCCTGCATCCACTACTGCACCCCTTCAATCCATTCTCCCTGCAGCACCCAGAATAATTCTTTATAGAAAGGATGTCACACTTCTGACTTCCTTAGGCTCTGCTGAAAACCTTTCAATAGCTTCACATTTGGTGGGACTGTGATCAAACTCCTTACACCAAACTCCACTTAATGTGGATCTTCTACACTTTGCTAGCTTCATCTTATACCACACTCCTTTGCCTTCCCCCTCTCTAATCACATGGGCCTCCGGCCAGCTGCTCACAGATGCCATGCTCCCTCCTAATACAGTGCCTATGCACAGGCTATTCTGGTGAAGACCTGTGTTTGTGCCTATTTATCTTTCAGATGTCAGCTCAAGTTTCAGAAAATCATTCCACGTTCTCCCTGAAAGTAAAATTCCTGATGTATGCTTCAAAGGTATTATGCAACTCTTCACTGTAACATTTAACACAGGCACAATTTTAGATTTATTTCTGTGATTATTTAATACCCAACTTCTCCACTAGGCTCTAAATTCCATGAGGATCAAGGCTTATATCTGGTTTCACTCACAATTTAATTTTAATGCCAAGCACAGAGTAAACATATAAGTTTTTATTGAATAATATAGAGAATATAGACTTAAATATAAGCTGTAATAATGGTGTTACACAAAATATACTTCAGAGATATTCTGGTATTTACTTATCAAGAAGAGAAAGAAGGCAAACTCAAAACTACAGAATGAAAATAATCCCAAAAAGAAATAAATTTGTAAAATATCTTACCTAGACACAAATTCACTTAATTCTGAATACGCGGTGGACTCCATTATTATGTTGAGGTCAGTAATAACAGAAGATAAATTCTCCTTATTCTAAAATTTAAAAAAAGTTTATGTATCAGAGCATAGTAAACTTTTAAATAAAATAAAAACACAAAAATAATTTAAAAATTTATAAAAACTGAAATGCTGCTATATAATAGGAAAAGGTAATCTACAGAAAGTACTGAAAATATTGCCATTTGTTAAAAGAATAAAATCAGATCCTTGCTCCATACCAAAATCCAAAAGGAACTACAAATGAATTACATAAATGTGAACCATAAAATACTAGGAGGAAATATTCATTTAACTGATTACTCAGCAAGGAAGAACTTTCCACAAAACAATAATAGAAAAAAAGTAAGCAAATTAGATAAAAACTCGAAATATCTATATAAAAATTTTATAACTAAAAGAGAAGCAACACACTGAGGAAAAATTTTACCATAAACACAATAGATAAGAAAACTGAAAAGAAAAGGGCAAAGTACATTAACTAAAAACTCGAAGATAAAAGACAATTAACATGGAAAATAGTGTTCACTCTAATAATAAAATAAGTACAAATTAAAACAATGGGATGACCTTTTTTCCTATAAAATCCTTCGGACAATGCATAACTTATAATACTCATAGTCTCTGTCCCAGCAATTTGACTTCTAAGAATCTTTCCTGAAATAATAAGAAATGAAGACAAGCCTCGTGGCTATTTATTACAAAAAAAAAAAGGAGCTCAATATTCAATAATGGGGACTGCTAAGTAAACGTATGTTTTGAATGGCAAATTCAGGTTTTCTTCTTCACGATAGTAAATGTTCTCCTTTATATATTTGCCTGCAACTTCTCCACTTGTTCCTATTCTTGATTTTGAAAAAGCATATATTGACTTTCCATTGTCTGTCTTCCACATTTTTCTTTTTTTCACTTGCTCTCATCAGTGATTTTTCTCAAGCCTATCCTCCAAGTTCTGCTTCTGGCCACTTCTAATGTAGTTTTCAGCACTATAATCATTATACCCATCCTTCTCTCCGTCATTCTCTCCTTCCTTCCTTGCTCAACATCACTAGTCATCTTCTGATAGTTCAATTTGACCCAGTAATTTTATTCCTAGATATATACCCAAGAAAACTGAAAACATGTCTACTTAAAAACTTGTACATGAATGTTTACAGCAACATTATTCATAACAGCCAAAAGGTGAAACAACTCAAATGTCCACTGACTGAGGAATGAATAAACAAAATATGAAATATCCACACAATGGAATATTAAACAAACAAAAAATGATGTAATGATACATGCTACAACACAAATGAACTTTGAAAACATTGAGTTAAAGAAGCCAATCGAATAAGACCACATATTGTGATTCCATTTATATGAAATATCCAGAATAGACAAATTCATAGAGAGAGAAAACAGGTTAGCTGTTGCTTAGGTCTGAGCAGGAGGGGGACTGAGGGGTATTAAGAAATATGGAGTTTCTTTTCGAGGTGGTAATTTCCTAAAATTGATGTACTGATGGTTGTACAACTCTGTGAACATACTAAAAACTACTGAATGTATACTTTAAGTGGATGAATTATATGGTATGTAAAGTACATCTCAATAGTTCTGTTACTAAAAAGAAAAAAGAAATCTCAAGAGATGTACCTTGTGTTTTGTTCAAGTGTGGGTGCGTAGATTCTGGCCATTAACCCATCAGGATAGGCAAATAACCCTGTTAGTATAAAGCCTATGATTTAGTGGGCCCTCTAATATTTACTTTTGGGGGAGGGACAGGCGTAGATTCAATTCAGTCACTAGAAATCTGACTTCAAGATATTGCCTTCCCATGTCTCTCTAACTGTCATACTGCTATGCTAACCAGGAAACTTTTCCCAGCTATTAAATGAGGAAAGGGAGCTTATAAACAAGCTGACCTCAGTGAGTCCCAGCAGCACACTCCTTTCTACCATGGCCATTTACCTCAAGCCCAAAGGTCTCATTCCTCTCTACAACTCAGGAATTGTGAGTGTGCCCTGGCGAGTGGCTCAGGTAACTGGAGAGTCCTCCCACATACCAAAGCTTGAGGGTTCAATTCCCAGTTGAGGTGCATACAATAAGCAACCAATCGATGTTTCTCTCACATTAATGTTTCTCTCCCCCCCCCGGCCCTTTCCTCTCTCTCTCAAATCAATAAATATATCCTCCAGTGAGGTTTAAAAACACGAATTGTGGGTAGATACATTCAAGAAAAGGGTCCTTCCTGTTAACTTTGCAAAATTTATACACTGCTGCTCACAAAGCATCCTACATCAGATTTCAGTGCCTTCTCTCATTCACATTCAAATCGTATCAGGTACATTTTGGTTGAAGCCTTGTGATATAGGATTCTATTCTTTTTTAGTTACAAAGTTTACCTGTTTTTGAATCATTTTGTTCATTTTAGTGGCTTCAGGGAGAGAAGTTATGAAAACATAGTCAATCTGTCCCTTCCCTACAAACTCCCACCCATCTCATTTATTATACTGTAGGAACTATGAATGCTGACACATGTCAATTTGGATGTTCTTGGAACCCCATACAAACAGTACAGCACTAACACCAGACAGTACAGCACTAACAGTACAGCACTAACACCACCAGACAGTAAATCTGGGGAACAGAGTTGCGTGTTCCAACCACCTCTGACAACAAAAGCTGTGCCAACACGGGTAATCATTCAAATTCCCTAGGTATATTTCTGTGTAAAATAAGGGGGCTAACCTAGATAATCTATAAGGTCACTTTTAGTTCCAACACTTTATTATGATTTTAGGTCATTTTTGCTTCTAACATTGTATTACTATGATTTTATTAAAACAGCATTCTATAAGGCAGAAACTATTTAAATTTTCTGATAGCTAAACATCTCCATCTAGTGGAAATTTTGTTTTTAAAAAGTTTTAGTACACAAAAAGTTGCTGTGTCTTCACCACTGGTTTTTTTCTGTCAGTCTCAACTCTCAAAATCTGTTCAACAAGAAAAAGGGTATAAACATTTTAGAACACAATTTGGTATTATCGATCAGAATTCACATGTACATCTTTGACCTAGCATTCTACTAGAAATGTACTTCTAAAGATATACTTATTTATGAGTAGGTCTAGAATATGCAAGGGTTTACCATTAAATAATAAAAAAAGTTTTAATAATTCTCATTAGCCTATTACATCAGGATTCTAAGCAACAAAAAACAAAAAAGTAGGACAGTCCTTTGTTCCTTTCTTCTTCAGAAAAGCCTGAGTCCCCCATATGGCTTACTCCTAAAATCTTGCTGATTTGAGAGTTGTCTGTGATTGCTTCCAGCATCTTGCTTACCAGTCTGGTCCTCAAGAAGAATCATAAAATTGGAAAGGGGCAGAGAAAGTGAGTGTTTTTAACATAGCCAGGGATAAGCACATGTTCTTTCTGTAGCCAAGTAAAACCAAACAGTTCAAAAGCACCTGAATACTTTGAAATGTGAGCACTGACAACTCACACCTCCTCAGAGATTCCACAGTTACCGTTCTGTCTTTCAAAGAACATCAGCTCTTCCTCTCTTTAGATTTTGTCCCCCACATCCCCTAAAGCATATGGGTCAGAAACTGCTGTTGTTCCCCAATTCTTCACTTCATTCTTGCCCCAAATTTTCATTAGCTACATGCCATGCATAATGAAGACTAAATTTCCAGCCTCCTTTGAACTAACTTATTGGCCAAGAGAATGTAGGTGAAAATCATGGGTGTTACAATTTCAAAAAAGTGTCCTTCAATGGAAAAGGTGAGGTCTTGTTTGCCCACCCTCCTTCCTGATGCCTGAAATGCTAAAGGGATTCACAACATGACTTGGAAGCCACATGGGTGATAGCAGAGCTCAATGATCATGCAGACCCTGAAAACACCCTACAGTTTGTTTAAGAAACAGATAAATAAACCTCTAGTACCTGAAACCACCTTTATTTTTAAGTTTTCTGTCATGTGCAGCTCCAATTCTAATTCAATCAGCATGTGACCTTAGGCCATTACTAAATGGTCACAAAATTTTCAGTCACACTTCAGTGGTATAAGATCAAAACATTAGATTAAAATGCTGTAGACAGGGCCCTGGCCCATGTGGCTCAGTTGGCTGGGCATCGTCCCATGCACCAAAAGACTGCTGGTTCCATTCTCAGTCAGGGACCATGCCTGGTTGCAGGCTAAATCCCCAGTAGGGGGCACGCAGGTGGCAGGCGACTGATGTTCCACTCTCACGTCTATGTTTCTCTTTCTCTCTCCCTCTCCCTTCTTCTCTTTCTAAAAATCAATAGCAGCTGAGCATCAACCTAGGATCCAGGCGATTGGGCTTTGATTCCTGGTCAGGGCACATGCCTGGGTTGCAGGCTCGATGTCCAGTTGGGGGCATGCAGGAGGCAGGCAATCAATGATGACTCTCTCATCATTGATGTTTCTACCTCTCTCTCTCCCTCTCCCTTCCTCTCTCTGAAATCAATATATATTAAAAAATAATAAAAATAAAAAATGTTTTTTTTAAATACTGTTGACAGGGAAGTAAAGGCTGGGCTAGTGCTGCCACTCCCTGGTAGGAGGCAGGAAACATGGCCACTGGAGCAAGGACAGCAGGGCCTGTGTGGCAGGGCCCACATAGCTCTGGCCCTGTCTTCCTGTCTATGCTCTTATAACAGGCACTCAAGACCAGCAAGTCAAACCACTGTGGGAGCCACAGGGGCCCAGTGCCAGTTCACTTTGGGAATGCCTCTAGTCAGGCAGCAGCCATTTTTCAGAAGCACATCATGTTATAAAAAATGTCCTGAGCCCGGCCAGAGTAGCTCGGTTGGTTGAGCATCTTCTATGAACCAAGAGGTCACTGGTTCTATTCCTTATCAGGGCACATCCCCAGTAGGGGTGTGCAGGAGGCAGCCAATTGATGTTTTTCTCTCACATCGATATTTCTCTCTCCCCTCTCCCTTCCTCTCTTTCTAAAACTTTTTTTTTTTTTTTATGTAGCCAAACTGTGACATCATCTTTGATCTGATTCATGATGGGATCAAACTGCTATTTGATGCTTTTCTTCAGAGGCTTAGGTGACCAAAGTATGCAACTTAAAACAAAATGACGTTAAAATATGCAGTTTAAAGAACCACCACCACCAAAAAAGCAGTCTATTTGATCTCTCAGGCGTTAGCCCTACTAATGAGCATATCAATCAATGTTTGGGAACAACCTATCCTGGAATGTCCAGCTGCACTGAGCAGCTCGTTCACCTCAACTTCAGCTGGATTTATGGACAAACCTCCCAAGGGCAAGCCTGATTTTGCCCATAGTCTACCTTCTCCCCAGATAACACATGGAATGTCTGTGGAAAGAGAAAAACACCTATAGCAGAAAAAGCCTGCAGGACCCCAAGGTTACTAGGACACCCCTGAGCAGTTTCCTGGGCAGTGTACACACTGACAGGTGCAGATGTCCTTAGACATGGAACTGGACTTCAAGCCTGTGACTCCTCCACCTGACATGGACTGTACGCCTGGTCCATTAATGGAGGCCAGGATGCAGGTGGGTACTTGGTGTGTCACCACTCTTGAGTTTAGAATCCCATTAGCCACAAGAAAGAAAATGCAATTGGTCCTTTTTTGCAACGTTCTGCAATGGGACAACACCCACAAGTTCCTCAGCCGCATTAAGGAGAAGCCAGGGGTCCTGGCATAGACTGTCCATAACAAATGGGACTTGTCCATTTGGGTTCATGTTCTGGTTCAGTTTTCAGCAGATGATTATGCAGGACAATATCATTTTGGTGATCCTACGTGGACCCAAGGCCTGGTGCCAACCTGGGAACAATATAGCCCCTCTAGGGCCACTCATCACCTATGTCCCTGTATCATATTCTGCTCAAAAGGTCCTGGCAATGCTACAGTGAGGGTGTTCTTGGTCACCCTGGCAGTCTTGAAAGGGGGCACTCTGAGGAGAGAGCAAGCTGGAAGCTCTGTCATCAGATGAGGAGCCTACAAATCCCTCAGCCCATTCTCACTCAGCCTGCCTGGGTCAGCAGTGACAATAGGGACATAGACTGCAAAAAGTTCTCAAGAAGCAAATCCTCCAGCCCAGATAACTAGACCCAGACACTCTTGACTAGGTACTAAGGAGGCAGCGTCCTAATGATCGGACATCAACTACTATCCCATATTAAAAGGGACAACTGGGGGCTGTTTTTGTGGCCAAGGACAAGGCTGAGGAATCCTGGCACATGACCATAAATGCAAGTAAGCACCTTTTCCACAGGATTTAGGACTTGGTGCAATGACTAGTCTATATCCACTTTAGTTATCTAATGAGCTGAAGCCAAGGCAGCCTTCCTGCTCTTCCTCTTCCTGTCCTCTTATACACACTCCCTTGGTAGGCCCAGCTGGCAAAACCAACTGGTTGGAAGTACTTTCTGCTATCAAAGCATGAACCCCACCCGTCAGTTCACAAAATTATGCCTAAACCCCTCTTCTCACAGCCAGCCTTTGAAGGTGTCAGAGCCTTGGTCTCCTCTCCACCCTTGCCCGATTTGTACATTACCATTCTATCTGCTTCCCGATTTACATGAAAATCTTAGTGAAAGGTATCTTCCTCATATGTTGTGCCTCAGCAGTCCCATACAACTTGCTGGTATAACCATGAACCACCTTGGAGTCTAATCCTCCAGTCCAGAGCAGTGTTCAGATGGCTGTGGCCACAGATGACCATAACTTCATGAGAGGCCCTAAGCAAGAACGCCCAACTGAGCTGCTCCCAAATTCCTGACCCACGGGAAATGGGTGAGATAATAAATGTTTTTGTTGTTGTTTTAAGCCATTAAATTTTGGGGAAATTTGTTACGCAGCAATAGATAACAGATTAACAAGTGACTGGCATATCAGCTAACGACTGGGGGCATTGAGAACTGTTCCCATGACCTCATGGCTTGCACGGGGAGCCCAGGAGCATCTTGCAACCTGCCCTCCAATAAAGCACCTACACCCACAGCAACAACCCTACCACATGCAACTGTTGAGGTATTGCAGTTATACTTTAAAAATTTTTTGAAATGGTACCGCTTTGCATAAATATGCAGCAAAGGTTTCCTGGTTCATGAACTGCTCCTCAGCCCAGCCACTGCTGGAGGCTGAGGGGTGGGGATTTTTGTTTCATAGCAACAGAATCTGTTATCACAACATAATCTTTACTTTACCTGGACTTCCAGAATCTGAAATTCAACTTGAAATGTAATCATGTGGCAATTTCCTGATAATTTGTATCTCTGTAGAACTTTCTTTATACCTACCAATCAGAAAAACAAACACTTTATTTGCAAATAACAATTTCTTTCAAATATTAATTAATTTTGTGTAAATGTCTATAATATTCACATGAGTATATGTGTGAAGTATGTGTATTTGCATTGAAAATATCTAGAATAATGTGCACCAAACTGGTTACCTTTGTGTGAAACAGAATTAAATCAACATACTTTCTAGCTCTCGATTATACCAAGGATTAAGGTAAGGAATAGAAATTTCCCATGTAACCAGCACTGAGATCAAGATACAGAAATTTTAAAGTGCCCCATGAAGTTGCCTCATGCCCTTTCCCAGGTTATACTCTACCCCCCACCCAAGAAATAACCACTATTCCGACTTTATCAAATCTAGATTTGCTAATAAAGGTATTTTTAGAATGGCACAATCCTACAAGGATAAAGAGAAGGAGAAAGATGAGAGTAACCTAATTTTGGAAGCTGAAAATCATATGGATGAGCTAGATATCATATGGAAAAGAACTGACCTGGCAGACCCAGGAATACCAAAACCTAAACCAGCAACAGGGAAAGCTTAGAATCAAACCATTTACATAGCAGAACAGCAGAAAGGTATCCTGAATCACAGTACTGTACTGCAACAGATGGAGGTGAACCTGGGCTCAAAACGAGAGGACTAAGACTTCCACACTAGCAAAAGTCCTGTACCTGGCCTACATCACTCTCCATGCTCTGCATTCCCCCTCTTCCCTTCAAGGACCTGAAGCATCTCATGCCATCACTCATTTCTATATGCAATTCAATCGCCCACTCAGGTGAGCTGCTCAAGACTGAGAGTCACTCTCCCTCTTTACCTGTCTTGAGGGTTATTTCGAGGGAAGTAAGGAAGCATTTCCAAAAATTATTCCTTCTTTAGGGAATGCTACTTTCGTCCAAAGTTCCTCACATCCAATTGCTCAACTGAATTAGCTTCCCCTTTCCTGTTAGTGCATCACGGATCCCTGCCAATGAAACTCAGTTATGGAGACCAGAAACCCTCCTTGAGTAAATGGTTCAACTGCTGATACTTTTTCTTGGCCACAGGCTATGTTCAACAGGAGTACAGTACTGTAGGTAAGGTGTCTCTCGTGTTGGTGGTGGAAAACTCCTAAGATTTACAAATTAGTGGTGCTGTTGTTCCTACAATCACTTATCTCTGTTACATGACTAGTAAGTTACCTAAAAAGGAGCCTTTGTCTCCTTTACCATCTACTTTAGGCAGCTTTTAAGAGTATCATGTACACTGTGATGTGCAAGAAACCCTACAAAACAAGTTTACCACAACCACACACCCAAAGAGTTACCTTGTAGAATTTTAATTCAACAATACTTCACCCAATTTCCTATGCATAACAAGATAAGCTTCAACACCACTTCTAGATTAAAATTAACACTTACTCCTTTCTGTCATCTCAGTGCTCGTTAGGTTCTCTGTCTTCTTGGAGTACTTTCTTATATTAATCCCAGTGAGTGTATTTAGAAACAGAAGCTCTGACTCTAAATGTCCAAGATTACTTCTCAGATCTTTTGAAGATTCCCATCCTTCAGAATCTGATTGGTATAGTTCCAGAAGTGATTTTCTAAAAAGGAAATATTGGAAATAATTACTCCAATGAAGAAACCATCAAATACGTACAAATTTCTTCAAACCGTTCCCATTTTGTATTTCTTACTCTCTTCCCATTAAAACCAACTCAAAACAATGTGGATCACTGACACTGCAACCTTTAATCACAACATAAAACATACCTAACCAAAGTATACTACCATATTTCTACATATTCGAAACAACTGTAAAAAAAAAATCACAGGAGCATTTTACAGAATTAAAATGCCCATTTAAGTAGGAATGTTTAGATATCCCAAGACATCTCAAATTACTTTTAAAAATGTCACAAAATTAAGATCAATATAAATTAGCTAGCTTTGACTTCCAAAACAAGTAAAGTGCCAGACAGCATTTTATATTAAGAAAAGATTCCCAGGAAATCTGTGAATGCAGGGGGTAAAAATTCCAAAAGAATAAGAAATGTCACAATTTCCTTAACACTGCAATCAAATATTCTTCACTGAGAACATGTAACTGTATTTTCCTTGAAAAACAATAAAATTCCAGCTAATACTCGCACGGAATGGTACTTCACTCGCTGCCATACTCTGCTGCCCTCATACTCTCTGCCACATTCTACAGGGCTAACTTCTGCCATCTTAAGAAAGCTTCCTTGGATCCCGGGGCACGAGTATCCTACTTCCCATTTTACATCTTGAGTCCTCCAACTCTGTACTGTTTACACTGGAGGTCAAAAACTTGTACAAAGTCAGTAGTAATTTTTTTATGTTTTAATGATAATGTGAAATAATAGTAAGTATATGCTGAGAGACTACCACGTTCTCTTTTGTACTGCCATCACTGACTGATGAAAAAAATTACTTTATAGAAAGCTAATGAAAACACAGAGAGAGACAATCTTCAGATGTAAATGATGAGTTCTTGCCAAATGAATACCAAATGATGTCACAGCAAACTATGAATGAAAATGTCAAGGTATTTCTAACAGAGCAAAGGAATAAGAACACTGAGTCATCGAATTAGAGGATAGATATGCAGAACTCAAACAAAGACCTGTGACTGGGAAAGGGGAGGATGGGGAGTTATTGTTTACAGGTTACAGAGTTTCACTTTGGGGCAATGAAAACAATGTTCTGGAGGACAGTGGCGTTGGTTGCATGACAATGTGAAAGTACTTAATGCTACTGAACTGTACACTTCAAAAAGGTTAAAGTGGTGAATTTTATATGTATATTTTACCATACAAAAAGACAACCAAAATGTCATTGGTCCAAAAAGACAGACAAAATGTCATCGGTCCATTTCAATTAATGATGCTGATTTGGATGATTTTGGGTTATGAATTTTACTGGCTTTGTAGTTTTATTATTTGCAAATTTGTCTTATTAGCATAATTTTTTTGGCCAAAAGCAGAGGTTCACAAGAAACTTGTCCCTTTTAAAACGAATCTACATGAGCCCTGGCTGGTGTGGCTCAGTTGGTTGTGAGCATGGTCCCATGAACCAGAAGTTTGCAGGTTCAAGTCCCCATCAGGGCACAAGCCTGGTTTGTGGGCTCAATCCCCACCATAGGGTGTTAGCTGATCAATGTTTCTCTTTCACATCTATGTGTCTGTTTCTCTCTCTCTGTCCCCCTCTCTCTAAAATCAGTAAGAAACATATTTTAAAAAAATAAAACAACTCTACATGAGACTTGACTTTAAAAGCCAATTAAGCTAGCATTCTGGGAAGATGGTGGAGTAGGAAGCACCAGGAATCTGTCTCCCCATGTAGACAACAATTGCACTGGCAGAATCTGTCTGACATAATTTGTTATGGGATATACAAGATAAAAAGACATAAACTGTGACATTTAAAACATAAAATGTAGGATAGGGGTATAAAATGTGAAGCTTTAAAATGCATTCAAATATTAAATTGTTAACAATTTAAAATAAGATGATTACAAATACAAGATGTCTCATGTAACCCTCAAGATAACCACAAGGCAAAAACCTACAGCAGATATACAAAAGAGAAAGAGAAAGGAATCCAAACATACCACCATAGGAAATCATGAAATCACTAAAAAAGAGAGCAAGAAAGAAAGGAACACGGAATTACAAAACCACCAGAAAACAACAAAATGGTAATAAGTACACACCTATCAATAATTACTTTAAATGTAAATAAACTAATTTCCCAATCAAAATACACAGATTGGTTGAATGGAAGAAAAAACAAGACCCATGCATATGCTGCTCACAAGAGGTTCACTTAACACATAAGGATAGCCTGGCAGGTGTGGCTCATTGGTTGAGCACCAACAGGTTGCTGGTTCAATTCCTGGTCAGGGCACATGCTCAGGCTGTGGGCTTGATCCCGTGGGGAGCATGCAGGAGGCAGGTGATCGATGATGTTTCTCTCTCATCAATGTTTCTCTCTCATCAATGTTTCTCTCTCTCTCTTCCTCTCTCTCTAAAATCAATACAAACTTTTTTTTTTTTTTTTAAAAGACATAAGGATACACACACTGAAAATGAAGGGATGGAAAAAGATATTGCATGCAAATAAGTACCAAAAGAAATATGGGGTACCTATATTTACCTAAAATAGACTTTAAGACAAAAAGAGTGTAATAGGAATAAGACAGTCATTACATAATATTAAGGGGTCAATCCAGTAAGAAGATACAATATTTGTAAATATTTATACATCCAACATGAGAAAACCTAAATATATAAAGCAAATATTAACAAATCTAAAAGGAATAAGACAGTATCACAATAATGGTACAGGGCTTTAATACACCACTATCATCAATGGATAGATCATAAACAGAGAAAATCAGTAGACAACACTGGTCTTAAAGGAAACATTAGATTAGATGACCCAACAGACATCTACAGAACATTCCATCCGAAAGCAACACGACACACATTCTTCATAAGAGCACATGGAACATTCTCCAGGATAGGTCAGATGTTAGATCACAAAACAAGACTTAATAAATTTAAGAAGATTAAAATCATATCAAGCATCTTTTCCAACCACAATGGACGAAACTAGAAATCAATTACAAGAAGAAAACTGAAAACCCAAGTCCATTTGGCTCAGTGGAACATTCTCCAGCATAGGTCAGATGTTAGATCACAAAACAAGACTTAATAAATTTAAGAAGATTAAAATCATATCAAGCATCTTTTCCAACCACAATGGACAAAACTAGAAATCAATTAAAAGAAGAAAACTGAAAACCCAAGCTCGTTTGGCTCAGTGGTTACAGCACCAGCCCATGGACTGAAGGGTCCCAGGTTCAATTCTGGCCAAGGGCATGTACCTCGGTTGCAGGCTCAATCCCCAGCCCTAGTCAGGGAGCGTGCGGGAGGCAACCAATCTATGTGTTTCTCTCGCACAGATGTTTCTCTCTCTCTCTCCCTCTCTCTTTTTCTCTCTCTCTCTCTCTCCCCCTTCCACTCTCTCTGAAAAGCAATGGAAAAAATATCCTCAGGTGAGGATTAAAGAAAGAAGAAAACTGAAAAATTCACAAATATTTGAAGATTAAACAACTTTCTACTTAACAATCAATGGATCAAAGAAGATATCAAAAGAAAAACCAAACAACACTTTGAGACAAATGAAAATATACTATACACCAAACTTATGGACTGCAGCAGAAGCAGTATTAAGGGAGAAGTTCACCCTAGCAGGTTTGGCTCAGTGGTTAGAGCGCCAGCCTGTGAAATGAAGGATCCCAGGTTCAACTCTGGCCAAGGGCATGTACTTCAGTTGCAGGCTCGATCCCCAGCCCAGTTGGAGCATGCGTGGGAGGTAACCAATCAATGTTTCTCTCTCCCTTCTACTCTCTCTGAAAAGCAATGGAAAAAATATCCTTGGTGAGGAATTTAAAAAAAAATAGAGAGAAAGAGAGAAGTTCATCATAATAATTGCCTACCTTAAGAACCACAAGATATTACAAATAAAAATCCTAAATTTACACGTCAAGGAACTAGAAAAAGAAGAACAAATGTTAGTAGGAGGAGGGAGATAACAAAGATCAGACTGGGGGGAAAATGAAATACAAACTAAAAAGGCAATAGAAGGAAAAAAAAAAAAATCAATGAGACTGAGAACTGGCTATTTGAAAAAATAAAACAAACTAAACTTTAGCTACACCCACCAAGGAAGAAAGGGAGGACTCAAACAAATAAAATCATAACTTAAAAAGGAGATGTTACCACTGGCACCAAAGAAATACAAAAAGTCATCAGAAACTACTATGAAAAGTTATATGCCTAAAACTTGCAAAATTTAGAAAAAATGGAAAAATTCTTGGCTACAACTTACCAAGGCTGAATCATGAAATAAAAAATCTGAACAAACCAATTACTAGTAATGACATTAAAACACTAAACAAAAACCTACTTAACAAACAAAAGTTCAGAATCAGATGGCTTCAATGGTGAATTCCACCAAACATTTGAAGAATTAAAAACAGAAAAGGAAGAAACACAAAACCAGGCATAGGCACTATAAGAAATGAAAATTACAGGCCAATATTGCTGATGAACATAGATGCAAAAATTCTCAACAGAGTATTAGCAAACCGAATTCAACAATACATTAAAAGGATCATACACTATAATTAAGTGGGATTCAGTCCATGAATGCAAGGGTAAATAAACATCTGTAAATCAAAAGTGTGTACCACACTAACAAAATGAAAGATATAAATCATATAATCATCTTAATAGATGCAGAAAAAGTATTTAATAAAATTCAACATCGATTTATAATGGAAATGCTCAACAAACTGGGTATAGAGGAAACATAACAACATAATAAAGTCCATATATGATAAACCCACAGCTATTATCATACTCAATAGTGAAAATCTAAAAGCTAATCCTCTAAGATCAGGAATAGGACAAAGACGCCCACTTTCACCATGTTTATTCGACATAGTATTAGAACTCTAAGCCAGAGCAATTAAGCAAGGGGTGGAAAAAAAACAACCAAATTAGAAGTAAAATTATCTGTTTGCTATGATC